TTTGATACTGTCAGTGGCTTCTTCCTATACATGGTGTCTTGTCACTTACCGACGTCTAGTGAGGCACATAGAGCTCCGAGGGCGCGGAAGAAAGAGTACATGGTCATGGTCAGCGTGAAAATGAAAAGTAAGTTGATGAAAAATTGTGATGCTGTCCGAGCAAGATTTGCCATGCTAAGAAACATGTTAGCTTAATCAAACTGAAGCTTCCGAGGCAACATACAAATATACAACTACGTTAAAGAGCACAACTTGGATGAGAACCAGAGGCACATCGACAACAACTTGAGCTAGGGCATATGCTGCCGGGCGATAGAATGAACTAGCATAGTGTTAGCATTCCACTTGACCAGTCTCTACTGGCAACACCCACAAGCTTTTATGTTTCATCAAGATGGGTCGGCTCTGAAATGCCGCCGTCAACTCTGCCAAGGCGAGCAATGCATTGAATAACAAGATGAAGAACATGACTCCGCCTCTTGTGAAAACGCCAGCACTTGAAGCAGTCAGTACTAAAATAAGTCATGGAACTTCCGTTAGCATACCTTGTTTGAGGCAAGTTATAGAACAGACTCCCAACAATGAGTGCTTGAAAAGTAATCACACCCCACTTGCCAATCAGTGACTGCCTGTCACCAAACATCACCAGAAATTGACGGTGTGTAAGAATCCACACCTGCTTGTGGAATGGAACCGTGTAGTTCTTCTGCTTCATATTCTGCCTTGCGGCCTCTCGCTCATGTTCCTTGTTTTTCATCTCCTCTTCAAACCTTTCAATATCTGCAAGCGTGCTTTTGAAGGTGTTGCTTTGACGGTATGCCGCTTGGAATTGATCTGCTGTGCGAGGAATTCGGCCTTCCCAGCCAGCCTTTACCCGTCTTGCATGAGGGTCACTGACAGAAGTCAAGAAGTCAGGGGTTGTCCAACGTGGGGGACATTCAAAGCCCAATCTTTCAAAATAGACTTTGGCATCTTGGCTAGGACCAAAGAAGGCGCATTTCCCATCTTCAATTAGTATCACCTTGTCAAAGAGATTGAACAGATTTTCTGAGGCCTGATACAGAGCTACCACAGTGGATACATTGGCGGTATTTGTCAAGCTTCGCAGGCTCTGGACGTACTCCAAGGCTGTGCTAGCATCCAAGCCTCTCGTTGAGTTATCCCAACACTGAGTGCTAGCCTTCGTGACCATAGCTTCCGCAATCGAAGTTCGCTTCTTCTCGCCTCCAGAGACTCCACGAATTAGCTCATTGCCAACTTTCGTTCCTAGAGCATGTTCAATCCAGAACAACTTGGCAATCGCCGCGAGGAATGTCTGCTGGTAGTCTTTGCGACTCTCGCCTGGAATACGGGAAGCCTTTTCCGGAGTCCGAGTCTTTAATGCGAAAAGCAAAGTATCTCGAACAGTTAGGGTTGCATAGTGGAGATCATCCTCGGGGTTATACAAAACTGGAATTCTGGGTGAGCGATGCTGCGCCTCTCCATAGGAAGAAACACACCTTCAGACCGATAATTCTTTGCCATCTTTTCGGACTCGGTGCCGCCATACCGCACATCACCTTCAATGCTTTCGTATCCAGCTCTTTGGTTACCAAGCGCCTTCAGAAAGGTGGAACAACCAGAGCCAGGACGACCCAGGACAAGAAGCATCTCCCCTGGACGTACGCATCCCTTGTTGTCGAGTCAGTGAAATTATACCATCAAAAATTTAGAGATAATGCTCACGGTAAAGTCATCCAAGATGGTTCTAATAGATGGCTTTCCGGATCCAGTACCATGTCTTCCATGAGTTAATAGCCGTTTGATAAGTCGCGGTAACCCTAGGAAGATGTCTCCGTTGGTAGGCTGGAGAGCAGCACCAAGGCCAACACCCTTCACTGTAAGGTTCCTCCATACGACTCCAACATGGCGTGTTTTCTCTTCCTCGGAGTTCGCCTTCCGTTCCTGGCCGAACATCCGTGATATCAATCTTTCTATCTGGGCCCATTCCTCCCCTTTTGTGTCGTGTCCGGAAGCATAACTCCGTCGATGACTTATTGTGCTCGCAAGGCTCTCATCGTTTAGCTGTGTGTCCGAGGAATTGGATTCAGGTTTTGGGCTGGTACTGCGGACTGGTTCAAAGCTTTTGGCTGTCCCTGACCTAATTGACGAGGCGGAGCTTGGGATGGAAGAGCCGGAATGGTTAGCGGCTGCTTCTGCGTATGTGTTTGATGCCGGCTCGCCCGCCGAGTACCTGTTCTCCATATCTGTTTTTTAAGCTGTCCGGTTTGACAAATATACAAATTTGTATGCTAGATTCAAATAACGAAATTATACAACCGGAATATCAGACGGCGGCACCGCTCTGATCCAGTTGCACAATGAAAAAGACGTTTATTATTCTCACAGGCAATAGAAGAAGAAAATATATTTAGGGTGTACAGATTACGTCAAAGACCCTGTAACCTGGAAATACCCTTGAAAGGAGTCGGTGTCGGGGCTTCAACTTGCCGAGAATATGACGTACCAAGACAATCCAATCCTAGAAGCCAATCATCACGAATCATCTGACTACATCTGCATGATTCAAACACCGATTGTCCGAATATATTATGCTACGGAGATCGGGTGGCCATGTGAACATTAGGTTCTCGGTAGGTTTGTTCTCCGATCGTGAGGTCATCGATCGTATAAGTTTAGGCTGCGCTCTAGACATTAAACCTTCTGGTTTTAATATCGAATTGTATATGCCCATATATACTTAAATACAGTCCCAGGGCAAGGAGACAGGCCTGGCTGCAATAGCTCACATTTAACGATCTACTCTAAGGACAGTGATGCCTTTTACATATTTGGACAGCTAATGTAATGATGCTCTTCCGTCTCCTTTTTAACATTAGAAAGAGTTTGGAAATGGGAGAGAAGGGAAGAAGTAGTTCGAAGAGAATGTAAGAAACGATATAACATAAGAGATATTGATCAACACAGAATTTAACTTTCCCATTCAACCAAGGTGAAGTGAGCTTCATTATTATCTCATATATTGATGATCAATTAAAACCGGGTGGTTATCTATCAAGGAACAAAAAGACCGAGCGATATCGAAAACCTCAAGTGCTGTCAGTATTACCTGGTAAGCAGTAGTTATATCCACGGAAATTGTTCCCGATGGCATCACTAGATTTTGTCATGGCATGATAAGTGTTAGGGTCAATGCTACCTAGGTACTAGGAAAGCAGTTAGATCGCACCTAGGTAATTTCACTATCATCATCTCGTCATTCTAGAAAGACCTACCAGCGGTAACAATCACCGCTAACCTTCCTTCTAGAATTGCTATGATTTGCCGTTTTAGTACAGATTGAACTCTTCGTAGAAAATATGTGGCAATTCATGTTTAGAAATACATATTCAGGGGAAATGTGGCGAGCGTCGTGCAGGCCTCATTCGGAGATGCCTCAATGCTGTCCCTAATATGTTCCGCAGAACGCGGTAGGTGCGAGGAACCGGAGGAGCATTCCCTTATCAAAGTAGAAGCAAGACGGCATCATTACCACATACCCTAAGTCTCCGTAAGCCTAACAGTAGCTCTCCCTAATAAGGGTCCAAATCTCCGTCGGAGAACGCTGCAGTCTATGTCACTGGGTTGATTAATTCCCATCTACTGCTGTTCAGTCCTCTCATCCCAATGAAGCCCCATCGAGCCCACAGATTCCTGCGGAAGGTTTTGGAATTCTTCCATTTATCTCCTCCCACAAAGCGGGGATCGAGATCTCGCAGCAAGTAAATGACCCTCTTCCTATACTTATATGGTAATGAACAAGTGATCCAGCGCCAAACTGTGGTGTGCTGCAACCGCCGCCGCCCCTTTCTACAGCGTCGCAGCTGCCCAAGACTTTGACGACGTCAGAAAGGATGGTCAAAGCAATGATATTGCCCAGTACAGTCTCGGTGCAAATCTTGAAAAGCCGATCTCAACCCGCGAACAGCTAGAGTTGCGCATCGTGAAACTCTGGAAGACGGTCTGGCTGGGTCTGTATCAGATCAACGACAACGAGGAAAGATACCACGTTGAGCGTCTTGAGGCCCTCTATCTTGGAGCTGGGATGACCCGCACATACCGACTGGGAGAACTCCGCGTCCTCCGGCGTCGTTTCATGAGAACTGAGACCAACAATGGCATTGCCGCTATGAAACTCTTCCCCGATCTGTCTCTTTCGACTCTCCTAGCTGTGGTGCACATCCTGGAGGCCTATGAAAGTGAGATTCCAAACTTGAAGCTACTCTATTCTATCCTGCAGAATGGTCAGCTTGGTTTGTATGAAACCGAGGATGCTCAAGAGCGCATCGCGGTTGTTCGGTCGGATTATGACGTGATTGCGGAGCCCATGGAGAAGAGAATTCATCAGTATGACATTCGCATGGATGTGCTCAACATGGAAATCTGCGATGAGGCGATGGGCTTCCATGATGGACTGAAGGGACAGCATATTTATACCAAAGTGTTCCCTAACCGATGGTGATGATCATTATCTGAACATGTTGTTGGCCGTTAGAATGTCTCTATTGTCTAAATTTTCTTAATAAGTGGCCTCTTTAGCTCAGTGGTAGAGCGCCGTACTCGTAATACGGAGGTCATCGGATCAATCCCGATAGGAGGCACTTATTTTTTCGTTGTTTTTTGTTTGTGATTAGTCAGCAGCTTTCCTCCAGCGAAAAGAGCATACAGATCTATAAATGATAGTGAAATAAAAACTAATTTATGTTTCGTCACTAGCCTTATGGTATTTCTGTCCGAAGCGTTGTCCTTGTCAAGGCTTGGATGATTAGAAGTGTATGGTGCCAGAGGTCCAACCAAGTGTACCTCATGCTGCCTGGTATATATTTCGACCGATAGAGACTGAGCTTGATTGATTTGGTCCTTTTCCTTAGGTGATCAGACTATTGAACTCTTCACCGCACATGAACTTCATGGATGTTAACATGTTTGATTCTCACAGTAAATATATGGTGTGGTCAAAGTCAAGATGTAAACGACGGATCAACCGCTTCAAACATGCGCATAACCGCCCTTGTAACCACTGGGTACCCCATAATAACATCATGTAACCCAGTCTTCAATATCTCTTCTTGGATAACCCCATTATCAGTTTTCCATTCCATGACGGACCCAGCCGCACCAAGTTCTGTCTTCGAGTCCAGCTTCTTTTGCTCAAGATCGTCATAGCTGATCCCTGCAGGCGTCGAAGCATTAACCGCATGCCAAAACAGAAGTTCAAAATGGTGCCATGGAAGAATATCATAGTCATCCTCGGCGTGAATAATCGTCAGTCGATAATCTTCCCCATTTAGCTCGTTGGTACGAATGTATTGTGCAATCGTGTCTTTGCTTAGCCACATGTCACGAATGAATCTTTGAAGGTATTTGAATACCAGTGGGAATCTCGCAAGGGGTGACAGGATTGGAATGGTGCCCGCCACGCGATAAGTTGCGACTAACGTCGCGATGTCAACGAACGGCGCAATGAGAACGGTTCCCGCGAAGACCACTGGTGGTTCTTGTACGGCAAGGTGTTTAGATACAGCAATGCTCACGGCTGTGCCCATAGACTGTGCGAAGATGAGAATCCGCGATGGAGGAATTCCGGCCACATTCATGGCCCAGTCGACCACGGCAACGGCATCAAGAATAAGTCCAGTTTCTGATGGCGAGCCGGTACTCTTGCCAAAACCTCGATAATCAAATGTCAAGACGTGGATTTTGTTAGGATCTCCGGCAGACAATGCGCGATAATTGAGAACCCTGTAGCCCGACGCGACAGTTCCCCCAGGCCCCATGCATGTGGAGAATCAATCGAGCTTCGGGATCATCCCGTAATAGTTGAAGTCTACCCCATCGCCCCTCGCTACATTCGCTCGAAATCCACGAACCATGGATACGCTTGTCGAGTAAGTTCGCCGCAAGGCCCCTTTTGAAACATCTTGCAGAAAAACAATACCAACCTTCGGTTCCAGGTCAGTGATAAACGGTGATGATTTCGGTGGCGCGTCCTTGATCTTTGGGAGCTCCTAAATCAATGTTCCATGTTACAAAGATGAGTGCTCGAATTTTTTCATCCCCGTGTTCTGTCTCTGGGTCATCACTTGAATTGTGTCTGAGCGAGTAGGAGTCCATTCTTGGACAAAATCGAAGGTGCCAGGACTGAAATCTGTGAGGTGCTTCTTGAATTGAAGATGAAGTGGCCTGTCATTTGAACCGGGTAGGTGATTTGTCTGGACTCGCGCATAACTATCCGTGGTAAGTCAGTTGTTGGCTGTTGTCGCATGAGATTCAAAGACTATGAGTTGAGTTTGGGCGCCTGCCCCGCTTTCGGACCGGACGGGTCCCCACAGTTATCATGTAATGAGTGGCCTTACCTAACTTAACTACGCACGTGCACGGATGTCTTGAGTCCAGCCTCCTGCCAGGTGTTTGATACTCAAGGTTATTCAACAATGTCAATGCAAAGCCTCCCAGTTGAAATTGCGTATACGATACTTCGATTTGTAGGCAGTGATTCACTTCGAAAACAGGAAGCAGGCTGCCTACTGGTCTCTAAGTGGTGGTACAATCTTGCGGAGACCGTTCTGCTCGAAGACCTGGTTCTCAATACAAATCAGCTTGTACACCTCCCTGAAAAGACGTTTGACAAGCTGAAAATACTTGCACGACGGCTTACAGTCGATATGAAGGACACCCTAGACTCGCACGGCCACGAAGAATTAGATCGTTGCTTCAGTCGATTGCTACCGCATTGTTCCAGACTGATAGGTCTCAATTTGCTCGCACATAGCCACTTCGATCCTGAAGAACCTTTGGCACCCCATATAAACTACCTCGAAACATGGTCACCCACAAGACTGCTAGATACGCTTCAATGTTCTAAGATCTCTGAGCTTGTTATTGACACCTGTGGCTCTGAGGTCAAGGGCGGGGTGCATATCTGCCCCCACCTGGCGCTCAATATCTCTTGTCTACGATATATTCGCCTGAGGATGCGTAGCATATGTCCTCAGGTATTTGACCTTCAACACGATTCAAAGATTGAGAGCATTCTCATTAATCTCAGTCTCATGGAGCCCGGTCGCCTTCATGCAGGCTTTAGTCGTCATTGCACTGAGTCAAATTCTGCGTATCAGTTATGTGAAGACATGGTTGCCGCTGCCACAAAGGTCGCAAAAAGCCAACCTAGCATGAAAATGCTGAGGATACTATGCCATAGACATCCGTATCTAGAGATGGTGTCTAGGGATTGCATCAATGGGACTGAGATGATTCTCTCGATTGATGATGGATGGGGCTGGAGTGATAATGGGCATCCGAATTCAGATGATGGGGAAGACTCCGGTCAAGATTTGTTTTCAACTGATAGTGAGGACAATGTGAGGTTCATTTAGACTATTGTCTCTCAGAAGAGCTGTGGCCGGGGACTCAAAAATCGGTCAAGTAGGATCCGGCTCCCTGTCTTGTCATTGCATTACATCCCTTATGGCTTATGAAGATTGAACTCGTTCCGAAAATAAGGACCTCTTCACATGAGAAGTTATTTTTACGACGAGTTCTCGGAGCGGCCGGTCCACCAAGTTAGTGAAGATTAACCAGCCATTGGTATGGCATCCTTGAACTACAATCAAAGTCAACGGTCCTTCGCGTAACTCGAACATTCCAGTTTAGCTCTTTTTAGAAAAAAAGGGAAAAGAAAAAGAGTTAAAAAAAGAGTTAAAAAAACTCGTAGCTCTTCTGTCGGGAGGGGAAGGACGGGACGGACTGTTCAGTGGGTAACTCGCCCGACTATCTCCGAACGCGCTATTCGTTACAGGATGGGTCGAATTTAGTTGCTCGATCCTCAGATCCCCCTAGTAGAGGCTCCTGCTCCCTATCCACCGCATTTTCTCTCCCTTTGACCCTCCGCCAAGCCAATACAAACAAAACACCCTGCCCCACCGCAAATACACCATTATCAAAAGCGTGGAACCCAACCAAGTTATACCAATACATAAGATTGTCGAGAGCGACCACTGGCCATGATAACGTGCCCCACTCCAATCTAGCATTTTCAATCGGAACGCGCCAGATCCATGTAAAAGCCACAGCAGCAAAGACAACAGCCTGCATCGCCAATCCGCAGATACTTAGAGAATTGCCTGGTGGACTCGATAATTCTGGGCTCCTTGCGCTTTTGATTGTCCCCAATGCGGATATCTTTGTGCTCCACTGGCAAAGGGCCATCTTTGGCCGAGCCTCGCCACCATCAGTGCTGTCGATGACCATGGTAAGACCCAAATCTTTGGTTGATAGGTATACTCTTAGCTTCGAAACTGAAGAACACTCGGAGATCATACTCGTTTCTAGCTTGCGGTAACCATACAGAAGCGAAAAGTAGATGATTTCGAGTCTGCTCTGATTTTTTCCCACTAACCCTATGCTGTTCTTTGTACATAATTACAATTGACAGGAACAAAAGAGTCTGAATCTCTATGCCTCCATCCAACCCTTCTCATTCTGGTCTGCGAAGCTCTCCCGGTATGGATGTTTCTCAATCCATTCCTCGGCACCAAGGACTGTTGCATGTGTCTCGTAGAACTCGGTAAGCACATCGTTAAGTTCTGTAAAGTGTGAGCAAACCGCCAAATCCATCTCAGGGAATTCTCTTGGTACTCACTTTCAACTGCAATAGGTTCTGAAGGTTGCAGGGAAAATCGAGAAAGACCTTCCCTCCAGAGTACCAGTGCGGAGGGAACGGGAGTACCTAAGCACATGAGCGTTTATTCCCATTGTAAATCGGGCCTAAATGCAATAATACCTCGCTGGATACACAAAACTGTGGGATCCAAAATGGACTTGCCGTCGTCGATATCCTCTTGGTACCGCTCGAAATCAAACTTCAGCATTTGCTGCATAAGACGAGAATTGGGCATAAAGACTGGCCCATTGGAATCTAATCTTGAATCAGTATTTTCTTGCGCAATGTCGACTATAAGAGGGGAACAGGGCTTGACGCACAGGGGCTGGACTTTGAGATCATCGCGTGAACCAACCCATCTTCGGATACTTTGATACCATCCTTTCTATGGCGGGTCTCGTCCTGGTTCGCGTCGTACATTGTCGCATTCCGCTGTAGCTGGAATCGATACAATGTTGCTGGGAAGGAAGCATGCGTGGAAAGCAGGGAGAACTTTCGGACATTGCCGGGGTTAAGCCGGGTGGCATTTAGCCAGTGGCTGGCGAACATTGTGCTGGAGTATGTTCTAAGCCACTTCCAGGGGAAATGTTACAAGATGATATTTCACGAATACCAAAGAAAGTGTAAGGATGTGGATGGAATGATGTTTTGGACACGCGCACAGTTTCTTCTGGAACGCTGTCAATCCCGTCTGAAGTGTAGAGATATGGATCTAAAAAGGGCTCTCACAGGGACCTGGCCAGGTGACGTCCCAGCTATGAACTGCCGTAGGCGGTCAACCACCTGTGGTGGGCCCAGTGAGTCTCGGAGCCGGACTTCTTTCTTGATCTTCCATCCCCATTATCGACTTCAAATATCAACTGTACATGATGGTCTAATGCCTGGGCAGTGCCCACCTGAGCAGGTCGCAGGTCGAAGGTACTAATTGTTCGGGTTTTATAAATGACGTCACCCCCTTCCATTGATTCCAATCTCAAAAATTGCAATCCAAACCATTCAACCACCATTTTATTTCCCTCTCGTCACTGTCCCTTTAATGAGGTACCCTCTCTTCACACGTACATTTGGACGCCAATTTCCTTTCCGTCAAATCTCTATCTTTGTATTGTAATGGGTATATTCTTCGTGACTCATGATTTTATGTTTTAGTAATCGACTATACGTGTGCGAATATGCTCCACCATTTCTGCCGGCAACTCTTCCGGCTTGACCAGGCCCATTTGCAGTAGATCAGACCAGAAGAACATGGCTCTGTCTTGGGAATAGGCCAGGTAGTCAAAGCCCTCTTCCTCATCAACATCCGCTTCCACCGGGGGCGTCCCGGTCTCTTCTTTGTCGTTAAGTCCTTGCTCATCGCGTGAAGCACCGGTCATCTTCGCAATACCTTCTTCCATGCCCGGTATTTTGGCTTGGACGATACCCCATGTCGCCCAATTTACTGAGCTGATTACACGCCACAGACGTGTTTGTTGCATCAAATCACGCACTCCCTTTTCTAGCTCTTGCTCTGTGGTCTGGGCTTGGTGCCAGCTGGGCTCTGTGGGATTTTCGTCCAGGTCGAGTGGGGTGATAGCGGGTGCATTGCGGCCAGAGATGACTGGCGATATATGTCCGACAGCAACGCTTGCGGGGCGATGAGTTAAATAATTTGAGATGAAGCGATGTTGCTCCTCTGGTGTCGGGTAAATACGATTGTTGCAAGCCCATGAGCGCTCTTCATCGTGGTAATTGTAACACCATTCGGTCTATGTTGATTAGAAGAAGAATTTTCCAAGCCAGGAACGCTTTAGACTCACGAAGTGATTAGCGAACTCATATCCACGGGTGTTCGCCGACGAATACTCGAAGTCGATGACAACAAGCTGTTTATGCTCATTCGCGGGCAGAAGTAGCGGCGATTCCGTGGCAGGCTGCATTCGAAGTAAATTGCCGTATTGGGTCTAAGCAAGTCAGTATCGGGAAGGTGAATGACGAGCGAAAGCTTACATCGTTGTGGGCAAACACAAGTTGCCGCTTGATCTCTTCCATTCCACCACAGGTAGCGACAAGCCAAGCCCTATACTTTTCCACGGCCTTGCGGAACATCGCCCATGGAACGCCGAAAACATAACCGCGCCGCCGCCACGATTCGGTGGCCGCCTTGGCCTCATTCTCCGGTGACTGCACCTCTTTGTCCAGCCAGGTTGTCAGCTTTTCACAGTGATCCACCCATTTGTCGTAGTCCTGGAAGACCTTTGGTCCACCTTCCCGCTCCTCCTTGAGAAGTTCAATGCCATCATGAAGCTCACGCATTCGCTTGGAAATATGCTTAGCAGTCTCGGGAATTCGCAGATCCTTCGCTGTCAACGTGCGAGCCTCTAAAAATTGCTCGAATCGACCGTTTTTGAAAGTTCCGAGCACACGAGGGCCAATGTTCTTTCGACCGAGGCGCCGCAAGATCTGCAATTCCTTCTCACGGTCGATCAGATGCTCAACCTGAGGACCGTAAATACGAAGCAGAAGTTTTCTATAATATTATTAGTCTTGATAAATTAGAACAGATCGTTATCGTGTACTGACGGTGGAGGCTTCCTGGAGACCAAGGAAGTAGAGTCACGCTTCGGAGGAGGAAGGTTCTTGGGCGGCTGAACCACATACACCGCGTTAGTTAACGCACCACTGAGGCGCACAACCTCAATGTCATTGGCTTTCTCCATCGGTACTTTACGCCAGCCTCGGAGTTGTAAGGTATGCGCAAGGCGCAGGATCTCTGTTCTAAAGATCTGCCAAGCCTGGCGATCCTTAGAGCGCTTTGAAGATGTGCTGCTATCAACAGTGTCGTCATCTGCTGCGACACTTGAGTTGTAGGCCAGGGTCTTGGAGTTATCAAGAACAGCCTCTACGCCGGGAACAGGAGCATCAACATCAGTGTAATCGGAGTCCGAAGCAGAGCCTCGGCGAAGACCTTTGGGGCGGCGGCGAGCTGCCCGATTTACAGACTGGAGGGCATCCAACGAATCCGTACCGCGCGAACGCGAGTGCTGCACAAGGATTTCCTCCAGTTTGTCGAGGGACAATCGAGTTCCAGAACCATTGTGGTGTTCCTCCGACGCTCGATGATCACTTGCAGAGCCCTCTCTATGTTTTGAAACAGCCTCAGCCCGTCGGGCCTGGTGAACATTTTGTCGAGACTTCTCATTTTGCAGCCATTCAGATACTTGGTGGAATAGGCTCAGCTGGAGGTCTTCTTCAGGTTTTATAGGCCGATCATTATCTTCCAATGTCAAAGCATCTAACTTGGCGCTCGCCTGGTGGCTTATCGTGGAAGGCATGTGAGTTGGGTGGATCGGAGGGCGGGCGGTGGCTTTCGGCACAGGCGCGCGATACTGCTTGAGCGACGATGTGTCGGGTGGGGAGGCAGGTGTGGTTCCACCTGCATGCAAGGACTTGCGTGAAGGAATGTCCAAGCCCGTTCCCGAAATAGGCGGCGAGTTCACTGGCAATCAGTAAGTCTAGGCCCGAAGAGGTGTGAAAAGAGGAGCGCCACAGTCGGATCAACATCCAGCAAATACTGAATATGACAGAAAATTGCGGGGGCTGGCATTATCCAAGTACAAATGACAGGGCAATATGAGGGGGAGACAGCCTACCTGCTTCTTCGGGGTCACAGCCACCATTCTTTTCAGAGGGCATGAGGTCTGAGCGCCACGAATGAGTGAAGTGGCGTTAAGAATGGAGCAAGGAAAGACAGATGTATCACCAAGGATGGTCAATGAGGCGCAAGACCCAGGATGTTCACGGCAAATGTATAGAAGAGTGAGTGCCCAACAACCAGGAGGTTACCCCAAACTTTGGTGGGGTTGAATTTGCATGTGATAGAGCGGTTTTCAATAGTACCTTATGAATATTGCATATAACCGGATCTATAATGATCCGATGTATATCTTATGCAATTAGACTGGACCCATAAATAGAGAGAAATAGGGATAATACAAGATAGAGTCATTGATATCTCCAATTGGTCGGTTACAGTACGTGAAGGGCCAGATATTGACAGCGGTTTGTTGCCTCAGGCTAGACGTCAGGGTCCGTGTCATGTTACCTTCGGCCAATCACGTGGCTCTTTATTTACATTCGACTCACTCCACCAACTGTCCAATATGGACAAACCACATACTCAAGAAACCATCCTTCATTCGTTGGGAGGTCGCACGGTGGTCCGAGTCGACAATGGTCTTGTCGTAAAGTCTGGTCACATTCGCCCCCACGAAGCAGAAACACTTCGGTTTATTGCAAACAACACGACGATCCCCGTGCGTGGAGTTCATGATATCCGCAGGGGGATGACAGAAGATGACCAAGTCGTCGCTATTATGATGGACTATGTGCCTGGCAAGCCACTCGACGAAGCTTGGGATACTTTAGATTCCGATCAGAAGCTCGCTATTGCCGACCAACTCCATCCATATAGTAAGATGATATAGACTTACTCTTCGGTTTACGATAGGGGGTCTAAAAAGCAGTCTAAAAAACAGTCTAAAAAGCGGTCTAAAAAACGGTCTAAAAAACGGTCTGTCCAATAATGTTAAAACATTTGCTATGTCACTGTACTAAAAGAAGACGCCGTGAAATACACATACTACGTCTTCCCTAATTAAGCTTAGACAGGTGGAGAGGGGGTCCGAATATCAACAAGAGGGGTCCTTTTAACATTGCCCCTAAGTTACCCAACTACCCGTACGTTATGAGCGGTAAAATATTGACGAAAACCAAAAATCTGCATTTAAAGTAATTTAAATTGTAGATAAACCAGACATACTCCATAACTGACGACGTTAGAAACCGATCAAGCTGTTGCCCCATGCTTCTTGAGTACCGCCACCGTTTCTTCATCTTCCCCAGCTTCTGCTGCTGCAAGGGCAGTGCGGTAGTCTCCGTTCTCAAGGTGCATGTTCACATCAGCACCAGATTTAAGCAAAAGTTCCACGATCTCAACATTCCCTTGGTATGCAGCAGCAGCAAGAGCACTACCGTACTTCCCACGCTTGAATGGTTGGTTGACATCTGCTCCGGCGGCCACGACGGCCTCAACAATGTCGAGCTGAGTGTGAACGTTGGTCACAGCTGCTGCAAGAACACAGTCATACTCGCCTTTCTCAAAGGTACGTTTGATATCTGCTCCTGCTTCCATCAAAGCCTTGACAGTATCGACGGTTTCATCACATGCAGCGGCGGCCACGAGAGCACTACCGTACTCCCCATGCTGTGGTGATGCATTCACGTCCGCACCTGATCTGATCAAGTACTTGACGGCCTCGACATTGTATGCCCTTGCCGCTGCTGCTATGAGAGCATTGCCATACCTCCCATGCGGAAGCGACAAATTGACATCAGCCCCCTTTTGGATTAGGTACTTGACTGTGTCCATGTCGGCACCGATCCAGGACGCAACGGCCGCCGCAAGAGGACTTCCATAGTCCCGACTTTCGGAGAGCAAGTTCACGTCTGCTCCTGCTTCAACCAGGGCCTTGGTGACTTGAAGAGTTCTGTCCTCTGCTGATGTCTTTTCGAGAACACTGCCATAATCTCCCGAGAGTCGCATGTTCACATCAGCACCCTTCTGGACCAGGTACCTGATACCCTCAGAGAAGTCGTCGTATTCAACTGCTTTTTTGTATTCCTTTGGAACATCCAGCTCTGCGCCTGAGTCGACCAGGTATCTCAGGACTTTGATATCTCTAGCATCTACTGCCAGTGAAACGGGGCTGTTCTCATCATCCCCTTTGTGGATATTCGCGCCGGCTCCAACAAGGTATCTGACAATCTCAATCATGCTTCCTCCCTTGCTCTTGTAGCTTCCGTATGCTGCTGCCCCGAGAGGTGTGCCCTGACTGCCGTACTCTGCCGGGTTTACCTCGGCTCCCGCTTCTACTAAGCATTTGACGATTTCAAGATTTCTGTCATCGGCTGCTGCTCGTTCGAGGATTGTGACGAAACTCGACTCAACCATCGGCAGATTCACATCAGCCTTTGCCTTCTGAATAAGATATTTCGCACCCTGCCTATTGCCAAATCGGATAGCGACGGCAAGGGGATTTCCGGATTGCTCTGGCACGTTCACGTTGGCTCCAGAATTCACCAGAAGCTCAAGAATCTCGAGATTGTTTATCTTTGCTGCCAGGCCAACTGGGGTGAGGAGCACGATTGGCTCAAAGTCTTCTTCGTCATCATCTTGATCTTCCGGGGTATACGTTTGGTTCACATCCGCGTGTGCCTCTTGGACCAGGTATTTGGCGGTCCCAAGATTTCCGGCGAACAGCGCTGCGATGAGAGCAGTTTTATGGAAGCCATGCTGCACAAACATGTTCACATCGGCGCCTGCCTCGACCAGGCACTTGACAGTTTCAGTGTGCCCCCGGTGGGCGGCGGCAACAAGAGCGCTGCCATATGTTCGACCCTCAACCGGCAAATTTACCTCTGCACCTTTATCAATCAGAATCTTGCAAATGGGTGTGCATCCCGCCCGCGCAGCAAGCGTGAGAATATTGTGGCCTCTTTCGTTCACATGAGAGACATCTTTGACATCCTGCCACCAGTCTGACAGAATGGCACTGAATGAGAGATGACACATCGCAAAAATGGCCTTGTCTGCCGGGCCTAACTCGCTTTCGAACTCGCTCCATTCCGGATGAGGTGCCTGGTTGAAGTCGCATGTATCTTTGAATTCTTCGTCGTAGCCACCTGCCGCAAGGCAGAGGTTAAAGTCTTCTGCGTCGGTGATCCTGTCTAATTCCTGTTGAATAACCTCATACCATTTTTGGTACTGTTTGCTGCTGTCTTCGGGGGATCCGAGGAAAGTCTTCAAGAGGGATGACAGGGTAGCCTCTTCGTCATCCTGTGCCGCCTGGATATGCTTTGCCCAGTGATGTCTAATGTATATATGGAATGGATGCATGAGATGGAAGACCTCAGTTGGCTTTGATTCCCAGTCTTCCAAATTGAGATCATCATCATCCTCCTTGCCATACTTGGTGATAAGCCATGTTAAACAGGCACTGGCGGCGTGGAAGTTCACCAATGGAAGGGTCCATTGCATTTTGGTCTCGAGATATTCGCGGACTGACAAATGAGCGAATCGCCACACTTTCAGCTGAGAGTCGATGGTGAGGAGATTGTTACAGAGCGACAGTAGACCTTGCTCGTCGATTTCGTCGGCCAGTGCAGGTTCCTCTCCATTCGTGTTCACGCGAACAGCACCGAGGAGCTGGGAGGTGGACAATGGCCGCTCTGCCGCCATCACCCACAACATGGCACGGTTTGTGAGCAGTTTATCCGGTTCCTCCAATTCTTCCACTTGACTCCATGCCTCATCGTAGGCCTTTTGGAGGTCATCCGGCAGATTTTCAAGTCGCTTCCAGACACTGGACTCGGTCTTGCACTTTTGAATCTGATGAGTCTGCAAAGCAGCCCATTGGAACATTCCCTGGCAGCGTTCGAGCAAAGCATCGATGACCTTCGATTTCAAACGTCCGAAGAAAGGAGCCTTCTTGGCAAGCTTGTCCATCTCTGCCGAGAGATATTTCTCGATGTCACTCTTGTTGTCACTTGCATTGATGCCGATATTGGGGGTGTTCTCCAGCTGGTTCTCAATATCGGGGTCTGGTCGGCTGGAAATGAAGATCCTAACAGGATTGCTGTTGGACTCGGACACGAAAGAGTTCAAAGCATCAATCAGTTCATCGCGGGAATCAGGATCACATTCATCCATGGCGTCGATCACAATTGTGGTTTGCTCGTAAATATCCAGGGAGGCCCGGATCTGCTCCTTGCAAATCTCTAGACTAAATGTTGTCCCTCCTTGGCGACATTTCGAATATAACTCACGAAGCTTTGTTTGGGTAGCTTCGGGGTTCTTCGCGGTTGTCGAGAGCTGGCGAACGATGTTTTGAAGAATGGACAGTGGCTGCGAACGCCTCGTTTCGTTCTTGTCACAGTAAAAGAATGCAAAGCCCTCATCCTTCGGATTCTCACTTATTTTGTCCTGGATTCGGTCGACGACGACGGATGTGAGGAAAGTCTTTCCGGTACCCGGGGATCCCTGAAGCCAGAAGATAGAAGAGTTGCTCTGCTCCCACTTGCTGAAACCCTCATGCTCCAGCAACCATCCACCCGTGCCAGGTGTCCTCTTTTCTTTGACGTTGTTGTGGTTCTTTCCAAAGGGAATTGGTGAAATCCATTCCAACATCTTAATGCGTTCTTCTTCATCCACAGTTTGAAGGAGATGCTGAATGCCTTCGTCCATACGTTTCATGGGGGCATTCAGAGCATTCAGCATTCCAATCATGCTATCATCTGCGTTCGCACTGCGTCTAACTTCACACGCGGAGACATCGCGCAGAAGGTCATCCTCTTGTTCGCTAATAGCGGAAAGATCGCCAGAGACCTTGCCCGGATTGATAAGCGCTTGCAGGGTACGCGTAGCAGTGTTCTTGGAAAACAGACTACCCGACTCGGCCAGCAGATCCAGTGATGTGGTATAGATTGTGGTCAATGCGGATTGAAGGTTCTTGGAAAGGTTGTCCGTGGGAGTAGCGGTGGCATTCTTGAGATATACAGATTCATAAACTTGGCCACGACTAATCACCCGAACAATCTTCTCAGTGGTCGCAAGCAAAGCGGCCATTTGCTCACCTTCAATAACAGGGATCTAAAACAAGAGATCAGTGAAATGCGGATAGCTCGGGGATAGCCAAATATAGCGCAGAATGCAGCTAAACAACGAAAGTAAGAGACTTACCTGCATAACAGATTTAATGACAGCCCATGGAATAGCAGCTTGAGGTGGAGCAAATTGCACGGCAATGTCACCGGCCTTCTCGAGCCAGTCGACAATCTTGTTGGTATAGTTCCTCAGGACGATCTCTTCATCGCCAACTTTCACCTTCCAGAACTTCTTTTCGCACTCTTCCTGTCTCTTGTTGACCACTCCCACGAGATCGTTGATGCTGGATTCAACTGATACAGACTGGGCGGTGTCTTTGTTGAAACCCATCTTCTTTAACGTCTCCTGCTTTGATTCGGGCAAGGAGTTCAGAGCCTCCACCCACAGATCCTTTGGAGCATCTGGCTGCTTCGCTGGTTTCTCTTCGGCGGGTACTTCGGCGGGTGGCTTGGCGGGCGGTGCGTCCGCTGCGGGCTGGGGAGCCGGCTGAGAGGGCGCGGTTGCTGCCGATGGAGTTTTCTCATTCCCTTCTTGCTCTGGCTTAGTTGGTTTAGGTATGGCCTGGAAAACCCCAGGGAGGTCAGCATTTGGGAACATGGACGTTCTGCAGCAGTTCTTCTGGGGCTTTTCACGCCTTCCTGAATACCACTATGTATACTGACTACTCACCTGTTTTTCACCCTTCTTGTGTCTGTGGATGTGAAGCTTGTCCCTGAGTCGGTCAAACATCTTGCGAACTCTCAAATTGACGTCGCGCTGAAGAAAGTGTTGTTTTTAGGGCTTAATGTGCCAATACTAAATATTGTGGGTAGATGGCGAAATATCCAAAATACCACCAAAAAGGGCCACTCGGAGGTAGCCAATATTGGGGAATAGGTATACACACAATGACAGGGAAGTAGAAGAATTAAAGAAATCGCAGAAATCGGAAGAGGGACATTTCAGCTCCGCAAGGTCTCATGGAGAGCTGATCGCATACTTTAGGAAATGATATACAATGGCTCCCTCTAGGGCCCCACGTACCCCTCAGCCGTTCATCTCAACCTTGAACCCAGCGGTGTGGTTCAAGCGTCCAGAAACTGAGCTGTAACGAAGATGTTCTTCAAATGTCACCGTGCAGTATGGACATGATGGTGTCTGGGGGGCCACATCACCCAGCCACCATGTAATTGTGCAGATTACTGCGTCATTCAACCGCGCTAATCGTATTTGAGTGCGGGAATGATACCAATACCCGAGCCTCCAACCACTGGACGAGGCTCGGGTCCGTGAGAGATCGCTTGTTCAATAGGTCCACCTGAGCCCCACTCGATCTTCCTCATTTGCGCATAAACACTCCTATACACTACTTGTAATTGTATTAGCTGGATATTTTTAAGTGAGAGGGAAACAGTGAATGGTATATTGATGTAGTATTGGATCAGTGAATATATAGCCGGGCGGTGTCTTTAAATGAAGGCTCATCGGGTTTTCAGACCTATAGAACGGGATCCTTCCCTCATAGGCTGACAAGTAACGGTGGAATATCTATGTACGTCCCGGGGACATAACGTTAGTGCTATATTCCTGTATAAACAAAGGCGGTATGTACATTATTGTTCAGCCAGCAAAGGAGGCTCTTTATGTGCCATTTCAACCTGTATGTTCCTCGACATTTCCACCATCTCGTCAATAGTACCAACCAGCCCCAGATCATGATCTGCGCGAGTCTCAAGCTGCGCGAAAAGCAAAGGCAGGACAGAAGATTTCCATAGTACAGCATGTATCTTCTTGCTTGATATAGCTGTGACCACGAGAAGCACGTTTGATTACATAACAGAGGCAACTGGGAGAATAATCCATGGCCAGCGAACATGGATAAACGAAATGACACGATAGGCTCGCCCCGATACATGGGTAGACCCTTGACTAGAACGGATAACATCCGTCATACTAATTGCCATGTTGGCCATTGCTTCGGTGAGGTTTTCACTGTTGTATAGTAACAAAGCAGTCTGAACCCCTGCGAAGTTATCTTCTCCAAGATCTCTCAGGAGCGTGCCATTGAACGAGTTGATCATCATGTTCTGTAGCGGGTTGGTTGGGCCAAGGATATAGTTTGAATCTGCCGATAATGTTTTGCTATTAAGTGTGTTCAGGGAGACCGTGAGCGATCCAGTGGTTCTCCCTTCAACATAGAGATTTTGGGTGTTTGTTGTCTCAAGAAATTGATGGCTGGGCGAGATATGATTCTGTTTGTAATGCCTCTCACACCAATGTACAGAGCACTCTGTCATAGTCGGTTTCGGCTCTGTTATGTCTCTTCCTATTCTTCCCTACTTTCATAATGGGAGGATAATGAATGTTACTACTGAGCATTATTCCCAAATGGAAGTCCCACACGTTGCATATACTTGGTCCATAACCCCAGTGCGATTCTAAGCGCCGCAAGGCTTCCCAAGCAAGACGCTCGCTGTACTGTCGGCATCATTCGTAGTCACGATGTAGAGATGGCCCTCTCCGTCGAACTCGCCTGCTGCAACACTAACTGGGACCCCACGGGGAATGTGGCCTGCGCCTAGAAACCCCCGTTCCCGTCCCGAGCAAGACGCTTACTGTTTTGCCGTACCAGTTCGGAGCCACAATATCGAGATAGCTATCTTCGTTAAAGTCGCCTACCGCAACACCAAGCGGCCTGGGCCCCACAGGGAATGTAGACTGCAGCTGGAAGCTCTTCGATCCAATCCCGCCCGAGCAAGATGCTCACCGTATCATCGGCTGTATTTGAAGCCACAATATCGAGGTGGCCGTCTTCGTCGAAGTCGCCCAGTGCAACGCCGTGCGCAAATGACCCCACAGGGAACGTGGCCTGCGCCTGGAAATTCCCTGATCCAGTTCCGAGCAAGACGCTCACCGTATCGTCGACCCCATTCGCAACCACAATATCGAGATGGCCATCTCCGTCAAAGTCACCCACCGCAACACCTTCCGGGCCCGGACCTCACGGGGATCATACTGTAGTTTGTGATTTCCAGAGTGGTGGGCAGCGTCTGTTACGTTTAACTGGAATGTGCGTCGTTGCAACTGTCTCCACATGGTCGACCTGACGTTGGAAAGTTCTCGGGTAAGAAACTTGTGGCCGGATGGAAAATCGCAACTCGTGCGCATCGAGGGTGGCTGTAGGGTTCAAACTCTCAAGGATTACCAACTGGAAATATTTGCTGCACGCTTCCCTCAAGTCGTTAATGGTGAAGGACATGTCATTTATAAGCTGGCCTTGGGCAGACTCTCACATGAAATTGCTATCATCAGGGGATTCGCAGATAATGGGTTTTATTGTTGCCCGTATCCAGAAACATGCCAAAGCACAGGCATCCATCTTCTGGTGCGTGCAATAATTTGACTGGTCACAATAACATTCCAGGTGTGGTTGAAGAGTCTATGTGCCTCCCATTTGTCGGAGAAAATGGTGGAACAAAGAGTCAAATTTCGGAGTAAGAGTAGGAGCAACAAAGTGCTAATAAACATGACATTAGATGCGACCAACAAAGAGGGAAAATCAGCTTCCGCCCACTGTTGGGGATATCCGCTGGCCGTCTGAGGAGGAGAGCGGAAAGCGGATGGGCCTGGGGCTCATTATAGCTGCATTGACCGAGCAACAAGAGGGGGAAAAACCAATACCAAAGAATAGGAATTTACTGCACGTATTTTTTACAGCGCAACTCCTGATCGAATATCACGCCTAGAAGTTTCGCGGTGCTAGACGGTTCGACCGTTTTCCCGTTCATGATGACCAGGCCCTGGTCTTCTTCGCGCTGTTTCCGGGTGAGAGATGAGTTCCGTTTTCTCCGCAGCGAAGAACATGCTTTTGATGGATTAAGCGAAACCCCCTTGGACAGACGATCAGGGAGGTCAGAAAAGCCCAATCGTTTACGTAGATTTCTTAAGTTGAACGTACTAAAGAGGATGAACAGGCTACCAAAGAAACAGGGTATTGCGAGTGGTAAATTGAGGAAGTTGTAGTTTAGGAAAGAGAGCTCAGCGATGTCTCATCTGAACCAGTCAGACCAGCACTGCAGACCGACTATATTGTCTGCAAAGGTGCACTTCTGACCTGGAGGGAGATATAAAAAGGGCTCCCTACAGGCAGTATTCTGGCCCCCAGCTTGCTCTCCATCTATACCACGTCCACATTATATCCAAACGCTGATAGTATGCGCCTTAACTTACCTCACATCCTTGGAATAGCCACATCAGCTTCTGCTCTGTGGTCAGTTACCTACTACACCGCAAGCGATTGTTCAGGGCCAGGAAAAGAGGTTGGAGGCTTCAAAGCTGGGTGCCAGACTCTAGAAGCCGGCACGGAATCGGTAATGGTCTCTACCGACAGCGGCAACAATATTACCTTGAGCACGGATATCAACTGCAACACTCCTTACGAGGATACCATTCCGAG